ACTGCCATATGAGCATGGCCCTAGGGCGTGTGGGGTTAGTGCCACGGTCTCCGAGGGTAAGAGGTGTGACTCGGCTCTCTTCAGACTGGTCCCTTAGTGTGTTGAGGGAGGTGAATGGTATTGGGCTCATGATAATCACCTTTTTGAAAACATGAAGCTTCCTTTTTAAACATCTCTAAGTGGTGTTACAGCTGGGAGAAGGCAGATCTTCCTGGAGCTCGTGGCTCTATATGGACTTCTCTGAAGTTCTACTACTGGGGAGTCACCGTATATGAAGGACAGAGGGGAGCAAGGCAAGCCTGGACGCTGTTTGAGATCTGGTGAAGGCTTGAACAGAGCTATGGCACTGAGCATTCACGGCAGAGACATAGAGATGGTGAGCTCCCACCCGTCAACTGAGCCAGTGTAGCTCAGTTGGTTGAGCATCATTCTGCAAAGTGAAAGGTCCCTGATTCAATCCCCAGTCAGGGCAAGGCTTAGGCTGTGGGCTCAGTATCCCACTGGGTGCATGTGAGAGGCAACCGATCAATGTGTCTCTCTCCCATTGTTGTTTCTCTCCCTCTCTCCCTCCCTTTCCCTCTCTCTAAAATAAATAAGTAAATAAATATTTTTTAAAAAGATGGTGAGATCCCTTGTGGACTCAATGCCTCAGGGCTGTTAATTTATTATATTTTCTTCTTGACCACAGGGCTCCTTTAGCAGTGGTGGCCAAGGCGAGAGCTTCAGCCTATAATTATAACCTTGCAATTTAGTCCATAGTCGAAGGAATTTCCAGACTTTGATATGAGCCTCTAATAGTCTCAGAGAAATCTGTCTTTTCATGGTCACAGAAACATTTTATTCTCGCACTGTCCGCATAGATCAGCTTCTCAATGACCCCAAGATGTGCATATTAACCGCAGACTAAGAGTGTCAAATCCATCTCCTGTGAGAGACACCACATAAATCGGTGACTCTTCTCCTTCACTTGACAGTTCTTGACATTACAATGGCAGGAGGCCACGTGGAGAAGAGAAGGAAAGAGGAAGATAAAAAACTTACCAATGTGACTGTTGATTCTGTTGTGTACATTTTCATTACTATCTCCCCAAACCCAATGGAATGCTTATTCTGTACTCATTACAGAGATGAAGAAAGAGATGATCAGAGATGTTAGGAAATTTCCCCAAGGAGGTATCAGGGAAGCAGCAGAGCCAAGATTAAAATCTGGAGTTATCTGACCTGAAAGCACTTGCTCCTTTAACTACAGAAAAGCCATAATACTGGCTCAGACAACCAGAAGTTCCTTTCCCAAATACCCAAGCAGTCAACTAATAGTCGCAGTCCATTCACCCTGGGCGAAGGCCTGCTCCAGGATCTCGGGGGAACACAGAGATGGGTAAAGCACAGCCCCTGTTCTCCAGTATGAACAGCCTGTTTGCAGAGGGGCACAAAAAGTCAACCCCAGAGGACCAGACTGCAATCATTGCCGCTGCTTTCAGTGACAAAGTGTCCGGTGCCATGATGTTACTGTGGGCTGAAGGCTTCCCTGTGAGAAGGAGCATGAATGGTTCATTTTCCTCAAGTGAAAGAATATGTGATGTAGTTTAATGTAACAAAGCCATTTTTTTCTCATTTTGATTATTTTTAAAATTTTAAACCTTGATAACATTTTTTAATCCTTGCCTAAGGATATGTTTATTAATTTTAGAGCAAGGAAGAGGGGGAGAGAGAGAGAAACATCAATATGAGAGAGAAACATCAATTGGTTGCCTCCCGTGCACACCCCAAATGGGCATCGAACTTGCAACCTTTTGGTATATGGGATGATGCCTCAACCAACTGAGCCACCCACCCGGGGTGTTGATAACATTTTAATACATTTCTTTTTTGTCTTTTCAATACATTGCTTTTTGTTTTGTTTTGTTTTTTACAAAATTGAGTTCTCAGTGTATATATAGTTTTGCATCTTCTTTTTTTAATATTCTATGATAAGAAATTTCCCACATTAATGGAAGTTCATTATACACATAAGGATTAATGACATAGTAATTAGGATAGAAACAATCTGAGGAGAGAGAAGGGACTGCGCGGGGGACGAGGTGGTCCAGGAAGAGGATGCACTTCGGCTCAGTCAGCGTTGGCAAGAATTTGGTTCCAAATGTCCTGGGGACAGAGGGGTTAACTAGAGGGGTCATCAGAGGCCACATGCCATAACTTCCACCCTGTCAGTCCACTGGACAGTTCAGGGCTGCCACGTGATCTGTGTCCCTTTCCAAAAGGCTACTCTGGGGATCAAGCCAGTGGTAGCCAGAGGAAGGTCGTGTAAGCATCAGAGAATCCATTTCCAGAAACAGACGCGTTGCCAACTGGGGAGGCATCCACTGAAACAGGGAACAAAAGAGTTTTTACTAACCGGCCCCTGACCCTGGCCTTTAGCAAGGGCCCCCTCTTCTCCCCGCAGGCTTTCTCCTGCTCTAAAGCCAAGTACACGTGAGCTGGCAGCACTTTCATCTAAAGCTTGGAAAATGTCTAGTGTTCTATTTGAAAAAGGGGTAGCAAGGTTAAAACTCGACATTAGAGTCCAGAAGCAGCAACTGGAGGACCGTCTGCTGCTAGACAGCTCCTGCTCCCACTAAGGAGCAAAACCTCTCCTGCCACATGGGAACCGGCTTTCAGCCGAGGTCAGTAAAGGAGCAAGATCATGCTGGAGATTTTATTTTTCCGTTGCACATTATTCCTTTATTCAAACCCTGATCCTTTACTGAGTCTGATAGTTCGTGAATGCTGTTTAGCATGATTTCGGAGTTGCTTCTCCTGGTGAAATTTTGCACTGTCAGCTGATGCTCTGATTATAATTCACATGCACAAGATTCAAGATGTTGCCAAAGAGAACTTTTTTTCTTTTTACTCAAAAGACCCAAACCTTATGTAAAGTTAAATAACTAAAAATTAAATGCAGTTTCTATAGGTTGTTTTTGTATATTATGAATTCTAGTCTGCCAACAATTCTGTGTTAGAAATATAACTTGCATTATTTTTGCCTTATATCACCATTGAGCTTTTTTTTATTTTTTCAAATGCATTTGTCTCTGCCTACCCCCCACCACTTTCCCTTGCCCGCTCCCTCCCTCCCTCCCTCCCTCAGCTCTTCCCCTTTGGTTTTGTCCATGAGTCCTTGCTATATGTTCCTTGACTTTCCCCTTCCCTTCCTTTTCCCCACGCCCCCCCCCCCCGCCCCGCCGCCTCCTTCCCTCTCGTCTCTGTTGATTTCTTTTCCTTTCAGTGTTGCTGGTCTTGTCTTCCTTGCATCTTTGTATTGTTGGTTAGGTTCCACTTATAGGTGAGATAATATGGTATTTGTCTTTCGCTCCCTGGCTTAGTTCACTTAGCATAACCCATTGAGCTTTTTATAAATATTTTCTCCTCCCACTACTAGTTAACTTCTAGTTAACTTTCTGAAGTTTATGACCTCACTGTTAATACAGATACTAGCTATCCACCTTTTGCCCAAATTTTTAATTAAAATTTCCTAGTAATTGCTATTTTAAAAAAAATTAATAGTCCTCACAATTGTCATTAATTTTTGCAGTAATTTACTACTGCAACAATAAATGGGTATACTTCCAATGAATGATGGAATGTTAATATATAAAGTATATAAGGAGACTCTTACTGCCAGTTGTACCTGGAATGCTCGCCTGTGCTTAGAATATTCAGATGTTACAATAAGTCTGAATGACTTGCCTTGTCGAAACACTGATTAGAAATGACGGTCTACACGTCATGTGATCAGGGATTATGCATAAATTTAGGGATGCAAGACATGCTGCTAAAGTGGGTAGTGACTATTTGGTCATTTCTCTAAGCTTGAAGAATAAACCAATGCAAATTCAAGTAGTGGAAAGAAAGAGTCAGAAAGTGTGGTTTTGAACCCTAGCTTTGCTACTTGATTCTGTACATACTTATTTAGCACCTACTATGTGCTGAGGATTCAGCCATATACTGAAGACCCATCGGTGAGTAAGAGGGAGGCTGTTGTTCTCCACGTGCTGATAGTCTGGGGAGTTTAAACAATTTCCACGGCTGCTATAAGCTTCTGTCTCCTCTTGCTGTGGGAGCCTCATAAGGATGTTAATAAACGTCAAATGAGATGACAGGGGCAGCACATATTTCTTGCGCCATATGCAGAGTGTACTTATGAATATTCTAATTGTCCCAGCCACCCTGTAGGGTAGATGGCACAGCCTCATAGTCATGGGAACATGCTTGCAGTCCAGGGCCTGGATTTGAATCCCGGTGCCTGTGTGGCTTTGGGTTTGAAGCTTAATGTCTCTGCTCTTCAATTTACTGTAAAATTGTAATAATTAGATTACTTCCCCCATTGACAAATAGATTAAATAATGGGTGTATAGAATTCAGCATGGAATCTAGCACATAGTAAGTACTACACTGAAGTTAACAGTTATGAAAATCCAGTGCAGTTTATCCCCATTAAAAAACAAGGGAATGAAGAGACGTTGTATCATTTATACAAGGCCACATAATAAGTTGCACAGATGATACTTGGCCAGGCTGTTCTGTTGCCAAGGTCCTCATTTTTTTATATATATGTATTTTGTGTGTCTAAAATATTTTTAGAGATGTGACTTGGAAAAACTGAAGGCTACCTATTATGTTCCTAGTGTTTTTAAGCTTTCTCCTTGGCTGGGTGTGCCCACTGGTCCAACATTTTGCTCTCTAACTACATTCCCCACCTCCAGCTTGAATCCACCAGGGTGTGGATGTGGCCTGATGACAGGTAAGGCCACATTAGTCCCTGGCCTCCAGCTGCCTCTCCTTGGAGAGGGGACCTTTCTCTCCATTGAAACAGGGAGCTCGGCTTGGGTGGGTGAGCCAGGCAACCAAAGCCTGAACCTGGATCCACTCCCTGGACTATGGGAACCCTACCTTTTGCCCTCTCCCTGAGCCACACCTGGAAGCTGACTCTTTGTGTCTGATTTGTGTCTGTTTGAAACCAGTGTGCTGAATTACCCTCTGATGAGGATGGAGATGTCACATGGATCTGACAGCCCTCCAGGAGGCCAGGAAAGGAGGAAGAGAGACATCCTGAGGTCCACCAAGAGGGCATGGGTTCCCCTGGATGAGCAGCTTCCCCCTGGCCCTGCCGGCCCCACGCTGGGTGAGCACAGGCGCGGGGCCGCCTGCGGTTGTCTTCCTCCAGGTGGTGAGGGCTGTGTAGCAGCTTTTGGCTGGGGGCAAATGGTTTTAGAACAAGGACTTGGCTTTGGACATACTAGTGTTCCTGGCATGATTCCAGAAGCTTCTATGAAATGGCACTTCTGACTTTCCCTACAGATACTCAATGCACATACCTTCGTGATGGAAACAGACCGCTAAAGAATGAAGTCAGCTTCCTTTCCATTCCTCTGTACCCCCATTTTGAAGCCCCACAGGAGCCCAAAGCTGTGCAGAGTCTATGTCGGAGACAGGAGGCTTCAAACATTTTATTGGAAGGCTTTTATTTGCTGGGCCTTCCATGAGGCATCCATAATCACTTAATAGCTCACAGAGTGATCACTAAGAAAACAGTTCTTCCTCCACTATGATGTAACTGTTTGATGGTTTTCTTCTTTGTCCACCATCCAATTCATTCTATCCCTTCACAGCAACTCAGCTGCAGAATCAAGACCTCCATGTCTGACTGGCCTTTTGGTTCCACCACACAGACCCCTTAGGGGTGGGTAATTCAGCCTCCTCCTGGTTTGGTAGGAGAAAGTCCAAGAAAGTCATCTAGGGTAGCCCGTGGCCAACCAGCGTGGAAACAGATCTTTAACAGGGAACACTGCCTTTCTGTCCCCTCCTTTTTGCCTGGTGACTCTTTGTTGTGCCGGTGATAAAGATCCACCTTAAAAGGCCCGGTGCCTTTTTAACGCAGGGTGCCTTTGGCAATCCTGGGAGTCTAGTGCAATTTGTCCCTGGAATGAATGCAAATTTGGTTTCTAACCTGGCAGAGAACTCCTTGCAAATAAACATCCCTGGCCAGCTGCCTTAGGTAAATGTCGTGATTCAATCAGGAGGGGCTCGGGGGTGACTTCCATCCCACAAGAGAAAGACAGAAGTCTAGCATGTTCCCCCGCCTTTTTGCACTCACGCCAGGTAATTTAAAAATTATTCTAACATCTTCTGCTCTTGGGTGGTTTCCTTTCCTTCTCTTTTATGTTTTCTTTTATTTAAGTTGCAGTCTTTTGGCAAGTTTTATAGTTCATTTTCCGGAAAGGCTGATTACGGAAAACATGAGTACGCTCCTAGAAACATGTAACTAAATATGTAGGAAACAGAGGTATGGGGCCATGGCCAAGTAATGAAACAGAGTCATTTCAGCTGGTTGTGCTTTGACTAACTGTTCTGTTTCTTTCTCATTTGTAGAAGATTCCAAACAAGAAAGTATTCAGCAGTGGCTGGACTCTGGATTCTTGTAAGTGTTTCTTTGTGCCCTTAAACATTTCTCTCACAAAGATCCATGGAAACAATGGTAACCCTGCTGGGGCAAAGTATGACACACAGTAGTTTTCATTTTATTTATTTATTTGTTTGTTTGTTTGTTTTTAGCGAGAGGGGAAGGGAGGGAGGAAGAGAGGGAGAGAAACATTGACATGCCAGAGAAATATCACTCCGTTGCCTCCAACACGCCCTGAACTGGGGACCTGGCTGGCAACCCAGGCATGGGCCCTGACTGGGAATTGAACCGGCGACCTTTTGGTTGACAGGCTGGTGCTCAATCGACTGAGCCACACCAGCCAGGGCTGATTTTCATTTTATCTGGATGCTTGACAGATTACTCTATTATTGCAAAAGTTATATATCTGTTTAAAAATACAAAACAGAATACTATTTCCGTCCCTGGCTTCTCCTTGGTTTCCTAAAGTCCTTTTTTAATAAGGCCTAACTCTGCATTTACTCTAATCTATTTAACTAAAAGGCAATTTAGCATGATTTATTTACCCACCCTGTCTGAGTCACAATACTTCCGTTTCTTCCTAGCGTCTCTGTAAAGGACAACTTCCAGCAAGCCAGCGAGCATGCCGGTAAGACGAGAGAGCCAGGAGCAGCCGTGCTCTGCAACCCGGGTAGGAGACGTATCACGTGTCTGTGCAAGTAAATCTTAAAGTGAAAATGATCAGAAGTTCTAAAACAGAACAGACCGCAGACCCCATCCAGTGCCGTCTCTTCGTTTGGTAGGTAGGACCGAGACACCAAGAGGACGGGGGTTCTCCCGCCGCTGGTCGGGGCTGCAAACCAGAACTCCCACCACAGCATTTGCTCAGACTCCGGCAGAAAACTCACTGGGTTCTGTGAAGACATTTTGTAAGAAGTAATTACGGAAATGAAATTGTTTCATTTTTTTCCCCCTCACAGTATATTGTAGTTTTATTTCTAAATCTAGTTGCTTTCTATTCTGTAGTCTCAAAATTATGTGCTCTCTTTCTAACAATGCACTTGTTCTCAAAAACAACAAATGACTGAATTCTACAGCAAAGACTGCAAGTGTGTATTTCCGAGGCAGAACGTGTATCACACTTGTTACACTGAGGTTTGATAAGAACATTATAATGAGAAAAGGAAATTTAATTACAAGTCTCACAGTTTCTATCTTCATTAAATGAAATACCATATTTCATAAACTCTAAGACCCCTTGATCATAAAATGCACTCACACTTTACAAGTTCCACTCAGATAAGAAAGTAAAACAACAAGCCATGGCAATTATAAATGAAAAGCAATCCTGATACATTCTGATTTTATGCATGTTAAAATGTGAAAAAATATGTTTTTAAATTGGTGAAATGTCAAATAATGTATATAAAAATGATATAAATTAGGTGTTTAGTGGTGAGAGAAAACATGATTAGTCTAACTGTTCCTTAGCTGGTCGTTTTTAATGATTTCACTTTTTCCACTGCCTTTTCAATTAAGTGACCACTGGCTACAAACTGGTTGAAATCTGAGGGTTTTTTTTTTACTTAAAAAACTAAGTATATCATTGAAATTTTCTTCTTTGCCAAACCTTTTTTTTAATGTAAAAGTTCCATGATGCCAAAATCTCCGGAGATGTTTGTCTATAAGTTGAAATTAAGTACCTCTCTTCGTCATAGTTCAGACTCAAGGAAACACGAGGACTTCAGAAATATAGCCAACATATCACATCCCCGATGCCTCATCGAGCCCAGGTCTGAGGGGGGCGGGGCTTGGCGCCAGGCCTGGGGTTGTCAGTAACTGCATTAAAAGCTTCCCTTCCCCCACATGAAATACAAATCATGGCCTCTCCTGCTCTGAATGAAGTCAGTGAGCGGAGCCGCTCAGACACGGGGCGGAGAGCTAGAGGGGAAGAAGGGCATCACCGGGACGGCCCTGAGATTCAGACATGTTGGGAAATGCAGTTTCCACCTGCCAGGCCCTGTGTCTTCAGCGAGGTCTCTAATCAAAATGGAATGGCTCCTCATGGGTTTAATTGAGCCTTTTCTTCTACAAGGCCCTTTCTCATCCATCACATTCTAAACTCAGTGACCTGCATGGTAGCAAGGCTGGCGTTTGTTCGTGCTTTACAGGTGAGGAATCTGGGGTATGGGGGGTCAGGTGCCACGGTCGCCGGTCATGGCTGGTTAGTGGCAGGTGGAGGAACGTGAGGCCAGCATCCCATTAGCCCTCTGGGGGCCGGTGGGAGCTGTGCTGAGATGGGTACACACAGAGTCTAGGGAAGCCCGGAGCTGCCCTGGGGAGTGTGGAAGCTGGGGCAGGACCTGCAACCGGGGACCTGAAAGTCATGTGGGGAATCGCAGGGAGAAAAGCTGTGGTGAAATGGAAAGGAGCTGAAGAAGAGGAGGGAAAGTTGTCACTACCGGAGGGAAAACCCTGTGCAGCCCCCGACAACGCGAGCTCGATGCAGAGTGGTGTGTAGGGTCCTAGGGTGGCCATAGTGAGTTACCGCACACTCGGCAGCTTAAAAGGAAATTTATTCTCTCGCGGTTCGGAGGGCTGGAAGTCTGAAATCAAGGTGTCAGCAAGGTCCTTCTTGCCTGGCAGGTTCTAGGGAAGAATCCTTCTTTGCCTCCCTCTGGATTCACGTGGCTCCTGTCCGCTCTTGGCTTGTAGCTGCTTCATTCCATTTTCTGCCCCTGTTCTCACATGGCTGTCTTTTCCTCGTGGGTCCTCTCCTTTTCTTATAAGGACACCAGCCAATGGATTTTCATTTGGGGTCCTTTACTAATCCTCCAAGACCCTGTTTTCAAATAAAGGACATGTTCTGAAATGCAATTTCAGATACAGAAATAAAATTGGGGGTGATACAATTCAACCCGCTATAAGTGGGAATCATCCTGAGGCTCCTTGATCACTTCTAAAACTTGATACATTGAAGTCGCAAAATGATCGAGGTGCCTGCCCATCTTCCAGGTGACCCAGCATCACCCCTAGAGAGACGTCTGAGGGAGACCATCCCTTGTGAGGTCCTTTAGCGAGACTCAGATTGCACATGTCACAGGCAGCTGCCCGGCTGTTTGCGGTTATTGGTCTTAATATGGAAAGAAGTACTTACCAAAGATGGAGAGGCAGTTGGTAAAAGGGAGCAGTTAATTAAAATGATAGCTGGAAGGGAGAATGGAGACAAAGGGAATTTTCTTTTCAGGGGCTGGAGCGACCTCAGGAGGTGTGTCAGCTGAGGGGAGGGGTCAGGTGGCCCGAGAAATCCTGAGGTGGGTGTGGTGCCTCCCCACTGGCTGCCCTGGAGCAGCCGGTACAGCTGGGCCTCCCCTCTGGGCTCTCCTCTGGGGGCTTTGAGGGCTCTTCCCCTGCAGCATCTCCTACCCAAGCTTATTTATGGATAGAAAGGAGTCAGGCTTCTGTATGACAAATACCTTCCCTTGCTCCTTCTTCAGCTGACAGTGACGCTGGTGTCTCAAGGCTCACTAAAGCACTTCACAGAGGATGGTCTCTCCCCAGTCAGCCCTGCATATGAGTAATAGGAGGGCGTCTGAGCTGAGCGGTCTGGCAGTCTCGTGTTTAAGCATCTCCAGGATGTCATCTTCTCAGAGCGCAGGGTGGCTTTTAGGGAAGAGCCATGTGGGCATCCTTCAATTTCTTACTCCTTTTCCTCTCTGAGAAGCCGCGCACTGAGTGCAGGTTAATGCCTCTTAGAGGTTACCAGCTGCACAAGCAAACACGCATGGGCTCAGTAAAGATCCACAGACCTTCCTATGACCACAAACACACGGGACAGTCAGAGGGCCTTGGGAGTCAACGGCGGTGCTAAATGGGCCATGTCCCTGGATGGCAAGGCCCCTCTCCTCAGGCCGCTGACTCCTGAACCCCAGCGGCCAGACTGAAGCTGTGTCTTAGAAAGCCGGGGGAGAGGAGCCAGTTGTTTTCCATTGCCACCGCTGGAAAACAAACTGAACATCAGCCCTGACTCAGGGTGCATTGTCATGGCGCTGCACGGATGGGCGTGCACTCCAGGTGCACACGTGACATCAGGTTTACACAGTGTGTGCTCATTTAACAACATGTCTGCGCATGACTGCGAGTGGAGACACTAGAACTGATTCCCACAGCAGAGAGACAGTGTTTGTCCAAGATCCGCTTGGTGTCATAGATTATTTCACGCGTGGCTAATTCACTTGTCCTTTTTTAATATGTAGGCATTTCTTCTCCAATCCCCAAGGAGGTCCGTGATGAGTAAACGCATCTCTTTCCAGAACGAATTGATTAAACAATAAGAACTTACAAAATCAAATTCTAAATTTTGTGGTCTCTATTATAAGAGAAGGTCAAAGTAAATCCAATGAAACAATAGATGTTCCTTTCATGCTTATCAAAAGAAAGCTTTCAGAGCAAAGACCTGGGCTAGGTGGTGGGTACCAAGGTGTAGAATCTATGGCTCCTGCTCTTAAGATATGTCACTCTGACTCTCCAGGACCTTGACAGTCTGAACGTAGCCTGTACCAATTTTCTCAAAGCCACTCTAGTTTTACCCCCCACCCATTTACATCCCTAGTTCTTTCTCTCTCTTCATCCAGTTCCTTCTGCCTTAACATCTTTCCTGTTCTGTTAACCTCTTGCCCTCCCTTTGAGTCCTGGCTTAAGTTCCGTATTCTCAATAAGGCCCTTTCTGACATCTGCACTAAGATTTAATCACTTTTCTGATCATCGGCCACATCTACTATGGGTTCTGTTCATATGGCCCTTGGTCTGTATTGCCTCAAATTATTAGGGAGATGATCGGCCTCTTTGACAAAATTGTAAATGCTACTGAGTCAGGAGTCCCTTCTAACACATCTGATTTCTCCAAATTTAATCAACAAAAGGATTTTGATAAAGCTGGCCCCTGATAAAGATGGTGTCGTTAGATTGGGAAATCTTCAAAGAAGGGGTGAGACATATCAAAGAGAGATACGGTTTTGAAGAAAACAAAGAGGTAAAGCAAGACAGTGTCACTTGGTAGAAGCAAGGGGAGCTTGGACAAAACCCTCAACTACAAAGAAAATCAGACAAGGGCAGGAATGCCTACAGAGAGTGGTCAGATGAGAGCGATAGTTTCGGGCTAGGGAGCACAGGTAGAAACGTTTCAGTGAAATGGGGTGTTGCCAGGTTCCAAATGCCTTAAAATCCAGAAAGGAAGAATCTCACTTCATGTCTTAGGAGAAGGGTGGCAAAGCAGTGTCACCTTGGGTTCCAGTCAAAGGATAGGCTGTTGTAACCGGGGTCTCTGTTGAGTAGGATTTTGAAACCCCTACCTTTGTTCACCTGAACAAAGGGTCAGAGTCATAAGCGACAGAAGCTGTTGGTGCGGCACCAGGGCACTGAAGCAGGTCTGTTACACCTTTGCCTGCTCCACTATGGGGAGCTCTGAATGGTTCCTACAAAGGCAAACGACAGATTGCAATGTTTTCCTGGCAGTGGAGGAAGGCACATGCCTTGGGATGAAGCTACTGTGACCTCACACGTGGGGTGGGTATCAGCAGTGGGACAGAAAGGGTGAGTCACCAGCAGTCACATCCATGATGGATTCTATTCGCACAACGCCAAGCAGAT